CGATCACTAGGACACAAGGATCTAGCGTTACGCGCCGCTCGTATGTTGCCATTGTCATTTGTAGAGCGCTCCTCCAACGCTTCATCGCGCGCCTAGTGATCGCATAGCAGTGGGATGTCCTTCTCGCTGCGCGCGCTTTACTTGCACGGATTTACCAATCTTTTTTCGTTAATTACTTAGTACTTATTACAAAAATCAAAAAATGGTAAAGGACTTTTCTACTCGATTTGACCTCCTCTACCTGTATATGACCGGTGGGGCGATTATTGCCAGACACCCTGTATAATATAACATCATAGAAAGGTATTTATTACGCACATCATTTTCTCTTTTATATTTTGTATTATATTTTGTGATAAAACAATTCACAGGTTTGATCTTTAACTCTGCTGGAAATTTAATACGCGAAAAGCGCTCAATTTTAAATTGCTTATTACTCGATTGTTCAAAAATAAAGTAAGAAATTGTTCATTAATATTAAGGCAAAGTTAGGAAAGGCCCTGTATACATGACACATAGGTTATGTAACGCGATCAGCAGTATCAAGAGAAAAAGAGGGAAAGGGGTTTTTGGCGATCACATGGCGCACATTCTCCGAATCCGGTTTTGAAACCAGATGATACATACGGTACCGGTTACACGATATGTACATTTGTTACATACATACATATGATTCATAATTATCAATTATAAGTACATAAATATTTCAAATTTCTATTAACTTGAGAGAATTTTCCTATACTGAAAATAAAGTGCAACAATAGGACACAAAAATATCGAAATTGAAAATCGCATTTAACGTTTCAAACTCGTCGTTATAAAGACTATGTTATTTTTTGTGTCATTCTTATTATATAATAATAATATTAATACAATATATATACATAACATTTTTTGACAAAGTGTAAATGTTCCCATAATTTCAATTTTGTTCCATTTCTCAAATATTTAAATATTTTAATTTTTTAAATGTTTAGCAATTAAAATTTTGTATCGTTTTCAAAGCAATAAATTCCTCAACTTTTAAATAAATACGAAATATCAACATGTTAACAATTTGTAATTGATTATGTCATTATAGGATACCTCATGAACAGTAATAAGTATTAAATGACGAAAGCCACTGTCAGCATAGCGTCATTATAGCGCGTTATCACCTGGAGAGATTATTCCTTATGTGTCGTAAGAAAAATATCGTCCTTCTTTCTATCACGATCATTATGTCAAAAACAGACGCGTAACGAGCGCTCGCGAAGAGAAAGGCGACGGACAACTTTTATACGGGCCGTTTCCAGGTCTGGTTTTGACAATCAATTTCACTGACACGCAACGCGCAGTTCCATTATGCGATCTAGAAAGGAAATTTTGCGACTCGTTCGCGGCCTCGACCGGATTCGATGGCTTAGCTGCGAGATATCTTTGGCCACCGGACGTTTAGGTTCGCATCGCTGCGGTGTGTTTCGTAATTCATTATACGTTTCTCTTACGCTCAATATATAATGTATCCCTCACGCACCACATCCGGTGTTGACTTTCTATAGCGGAGTAGAGAGAGCATTGAGAGGCAAGAAAAAATTGCGGTCGCAGTGCGAGACGTATGCCATGCTTGCCATCTTCGAAGCTATCGAATCACTGATGTTTGATCGCATTTGGTTGTTCCGGATTTATCGAGTCCTTTCAGCTGTGGATTCCGTAACGAATTCGGAATACTTGGATCTTTCTCTGATGCGTGTGGCGACTTTAAAATTATCACACTCTAATTGTTAATTGCAATATCATAGAACGAATGTGTTTTTATTATCAAATTTAAATATAATAATAATAATTATTTGAATAATATTTTATTAAACCAATTCGATATTACATTTAATATTATTATATTAAATTCAAATAAATTAATATTAACAAAACAATATTATTATTTAAATAAAAATAAAATAATAAATTATTATACAACAAAGTATAAAATAATTTTCTAATCATTTCGCATTTAATTGTGTTAAAAGAACTTGGAGTAACGCTCCCTTTGAGTTACATAAAGTTGATTACACTTATGTAACGGCCTTAAAGTTAACATCGGAAATTAAAGTTTTATCAATATATTCTAAAAGAAAAATTAAGTTCCCTAAAAAATCTGCATTTCAGAGAGTTACATTCATGAGCGGAATGCATGTCAATCATTGGCTGACATACATTACCGCTGTCATCATGTCAATTACACGGATCATTTCGATAGTCGCCTTCGTGTTGAAAGTGCCTTTTAATTTTATGAGAACGCTTGAACGCGCTTCGAATCATCAATAAAGTTGCGTTACGGTGATCGATAATGAATATGGGCGAATCTGAGCAGGGAAGATCGCGGTGAGGCGTAATGTGCGAGTGTTGATCGATGTCGTTTCGTATCGGAATTCAATAAACTGTTCACGGTCAGCGCGTTTGCTTGCGTTATTATCTTCTCCATTGAAATGCGCGGTGTATGCGTGTTTACTACAGCAGTCGATCTCATCTTTGTCAGATTTGACGATTACGCGCTGTGTAACGCGCAAAATACTGGAGAAAGTAAAAGTGAAGAGAAACGTTTCGTTGAGATTACGGATGTATGCGTAACAGAAAAACCGGTTGATGACTGCTTATGTGTTTCTTTAATTTATATGTAGTATTAGTAATATATGCAAATTTCGACAGGTATCTTTTGTACAATGTCAATGTATTAAAAGATCTTAATTTCTGTTGAGTTTTTGAACATTCATTAGAAGTTATTTATTAGAAGCTATTTTTCTCATAACTTTAATATAATAATGAAAACGTCAAGTTTGTAGCTTATTTACTCACTAATGTAGTATTTACTCACAAATATAGACATTTTGCGTTTATTATCTTTACGACACCGTCAGATTTATTACTAGATACTCATATTTATTGCCGGTCGTTAAATGTCTTTCAGCGCGATAGTTTAAGTAATTGCATACGTTACGTTAAATATATATAGAAAGTATAATCAGTGTTTGCTAATGTCAATCGAGCATTTCCTAAATCATATTTTATTATGATTATTTATTTAGAATTATTAAAAAAAAGTGAAATGTGATATCTTAGATCATTTAGCTGAATCGTATGCAATCTATTTTTCAGATAAATTTAAAGAAAATTTGTTTAGAAAACAAAAATCTCGTATTTTTTAAATATATTTTACATTTAGAACAATATTTACAGAAATTTCAGTTAAATTTGCTGTTGCAATATATGAGTGAATTTTTGACAATCAAGTAATAATTTAGATAATAATAATATAAATGATAGTTACAATTAATATGAGATTATCATTTATATGAGAAATTTGGACGTATTTGAGAATTACATGAATGCGGATATTATTTAAAAACTGAAAAATAAAAATAGAAAAGTGTTCCAAATAGAGAATGGGATATAATATGAACCCAAATATGAACTCCTTATTTTCCAAGTGGTATAAATCCAATTTTTAAATTGTTGAGAAATGTTTTGCTTTTGGGCTTATAGAAAATTCAAGATAAATGGAAATAACTCCTCCAATTTTGTGTTACTCCCAGTGGCTTATTTATGAAATTGGACTTGTAAGTTCATTGGACTTATACTTGTTTACTAGACAATCCTTCCGAACACATTCTTCTGTAAGTCCAAAATTTGAGATTTTCAACTTACAGCACTTGGGAAATAAGGAGTTCATATATAAATATATAATTTGAAATTTTGTCAATTGCTGTTTGAAATGTGTGCTTTATTTAATTCGAAATGTGTGCTTTATTTAATATTTTTTTCAATTACTGAAAATGTTTGTATGATGTACATATGTACAAAAAGTCTGAATATTATGCATATCTTTCTAATTGCTTTGTTTTGCATTGCTTTGACTCCATATATTTTATATTGCACATTTAATCGTTTTTCTCTCCACATAATGAATAATAAAGACACTTTGTTAGTAGAATAATTTTGTTTATATTATCTGCAAAACGCCATGAATCGCGAGTTGTTACGTTGCATTGTGTTATACTTGCATAAAAGCTTGTTGCATCAGCGCAACTTCGGCATCTAGCCTGAAGGCCAAGTGAGTCAATTTCTACCTCAGGTTTCTGCACTCTTACAAAGCAAAAAAACAAGATACTAGAGAAAGATATTAAATCACGGATAATAGTGCAATTAATTTTATACTTTAATAAGCATAAAAACAGACATCGTTTGCAGCCGTGAAAAATAAGGCGTCGCATCAAGCGGACGTTTCAAACTATCAATAAAAATTAAAGATAAGTGGTAATTTACAATTATCCAATAATTATTGTATTTATCCGCACGCTATCTATTGAAGCTTTCACGCGTTAAAAACACTCATAAATATAATGCGGTGTTCAAGAACGGAAAGATGTGGCCCTATAACATCCGTGAGATATCGTTAAAAATTGCTCTTACAGATTCCGAAATCCATGGCATTTTTCTTCAAGGACAAGAAAGGCGATAATCATCCGATCACCAGGTGCCATTCGCTGCTCCAGATCGAACAAATTTATCTATTGGCCTCTCTGATCCCAGGCAATTTTGGACCGAGAGACCCGTCGCTCACTCTCACCTTTCACTTTCTAGATACCTGCCTAACTATTACGGTTATTAATATGACCGCATGTCGCATAACATAATATAGGACAAAAGAAAAACTTGCTTCAGCGTGAGAACAAGAGAACGTTAAATTAATAGCGCGCTTTCTGCACTTCTAACAATTATTCTTTTATCACGCTGAGAGTATTTTAATGTGCAGGAAACAAAGCGATTATGAATTGTTATACAATGACTAAAATATTTGACACAAAAGAGCTAATAGATTATTTAATAAATTATTTAAAACAACGCTACAAATATGTTTCAAGATAATGTTCAAAAAATAAATGTCTCTCAACAATCATCAAAAAAAATTCTTGAAAGCAAAATCGCAAATTATTATAATACGAATTTTTAAACAAGTTAATGCGTACCATATTTCTGCGCTATTAAAGTGGCCCTGTTTACGCGTATTGTCCTGCACTTTCCATGTACATATAGGCGATCAGGATGGTAGGCGTAATCGGTCGGCGACGTCTCGATGCACACACATAAGAGTTGCGCTCTTACAACGTTCGGCTACGAGAACGCGGCAGGAGAGGAGAGCCTCGCGAAGCAAAAGGTGTATCAGACCCAGGTAGGAGAGGTGCATGCACACCTCCTGTGAGTTTACCAACACCGCGGCTCGACGAGCGGGCAGTTACTTTTCCGTTCTGATATCGCGAGGATCTACTTCTCTCCATACTGCGCGGAGCTCGCTGATCACATTACCTTTGGGTGAGTTTCGCGCGGAAATAACTTTGCAATTCTCGAATGTCCACGATTTTTTTAAAGAGACGTTAATCCTATCGCAAATTATCATTCAGTGTTTAACCCTGTCACGACAAGCGTATTGCGAATGTCATTCTAAACTCGTGAACTTTTTATATGTAGAAGTGCTTTCATCTCATGATTCTATTCAATTAAATGCGATAAAGTGTAATATTGATAAATAACATTAAAAAATTATAATTTGACAAAAATTAAAAGTTCTGCAAATATATAAAAATACATTTTTATGTATATCACAAAGTCAAATATACAGAATATTTGAATAAAATATACTGTTATATTTTTGGCATTAAAAGAGTTAATTTGATGTTGTTATTTATGACGATCTCGGAGCATATTGTATTTTTTTAATTTTAGCAAAATATTAAAATTAAAATATAGCATTTTTATATATAACAGTTAAATTTATAGAATATTTGAATAATATGTATACTGTTACAATATTTAACACTAAAAGCGTTAAGTTAATGATATTATTTATGATAATCTTGAGCCAAAATCTGTTTTTTTTTTTTTTAATTTATGTTACTTAAATGACAAATGTGTTCAAATGTGTTCCAATTCTTCGACAAAAAAAAATTAGTCTTTAAAATAGTTAATAACTTTTGACCGGATAAAGAAGAGGAGTCCTACAATAAATTCTTCAGAATTATTCAGTACCAAATTAAAATACTTTCATTAAATTACTTAATTATAATATTACATTTTATAAATTACTATGTAAAAACAAAAAGATTTTTTAGTAGAATACGATATTCTTAGTGCGATTTCATCGATGGAAAATTTGTGCGGAATAGCTCTTGATGACTTTTGGTATTATGTAGAAAATTGTATATTAAGCGTGTATTTTGTTCACTAACATTTCATATTAATTCGATAGAAAATTAACATAATTCATGCAAAGGAAATAACCATTCCAGCGTCGTCGTGATATTCAGGACGCTGAATTTTAATTTTTATATTTTTAATTTTATTTTGATAGCTTTCACTGTCAGTCGCAACTTGTTTGATCGCAATAGTGTTACAAAATGATGGCAATCTGCACTCTATGCAAGATACGCTGGATACTCTTATGACAAAGTGAATGGTTGCATTAATAAAGACCGCGTTGATGAGAATGACGCCGCTGAAACGAGTGATAGCAGACAATGACTCAGAAAGATAAATAGGAAGTTGTCAAACTGAATTCCATACATCGACGATTAGCTAGAAAGTGTATTTTTAATAAAAATAATGAGGCAATATCATTTATATTAAAAATTAGTTGTTGAATGACAATAATAGCATTAGAATATTTTCAATTAGTCGACACTTATATTGTACAAAACCATAACAGCAATTTTGTAACATTTTCAATAAAATTATGAGAATTATATTAGATATAATTGTTGGTATATAAATGTGTTATAAAAGAACAGTCATTTTATTACGTTTATTACTTTATTAATATTTTTGTTACGTAAAATAAATCTTTCAAAAAAATTGTCATATATATTAAACCTTTCGAAAAAACCTGTCATATATATTATCAAGAGATATATTAAAACCTTTCAAAAAAAACTTGTATACAGGGTGATTCAAAATAACCTGATGTTCTTGCAATGCCATATTCTTGAGCGAATTCTGAGACGATTTTTCCTTTTACAAAATTTTGTCCGAAGCTTAGTTTTCGAGTTATAATTGAAAATAGTTTGCTACTTACGAGTCCGATACAACGGACAGACAGGGACGGTGTAATGTGTCATGAGACGATAGTAAACACTTGACAGTCTCATTATACGTTGCGCGTCCCTGCCTGCCCGTTGTACCGAACTCGTAAGTTGCTATCTATTTTCAATTATAACTCGAAAACTAAGCTTCGGACAAAATTTTGTAAAAGGAAAAATCGTCTCAGAATTCGTTCAAGAATATGGCATTGCAAGGACATCAGGTTATTTTGAATCACCCTGTATATTAAAATTTTCAAAAAAGCTATTATATATACTTTCTACAAAAAAATATGATATCAGGAAATGGCACCAAGTGAGACTAAAGAACTATGAAAAAAGTTATACACTATTTTTATAAAACTCTTCTATAAAATTCTATAAAATTAAAAATTTTTTTAAAATATTTAAATAATAAAAATATTTAATTAAAAAATAAAAAAATATAAAAAATTTAATCAAAATAAAAAGATATTTATTAAAAAACGCAAAAAACTTGGCGCTGCTACACCACAAAGTATTATAAAGCAATGAAATTAACATGTAGTTTACTGTA